ATAGAAACTTTGCACTCTTATTAATTCAGTCCAGATTGTTTTATTGGCTTATTTCCATAATATTTTTTTGACTTTTTTTTTTTACCCTCTCGACGATCTGCTCAGAGTAAACTGGGTTACACTTGGTTACACAAGTTTTATTCGAAATTATTTCCAGGGCGAGGGCTCACTCCTCAGCCAAGGGGAATGATTGATTCTGTCCCTCTCCGCCTCGATTTGATGTGCGTCGTCCTATCGCGGCCAAGCCAATGAGCCGGGATTTTCATGGCATCCCGGAGCAGCCCTTGCTGATTTCTCTCACACCTAACCTGCAAGAAGTAGATTAAGCTCTTTTGGATATACTTGCTGATGCATTGCGCTGAGGAAAATTGCTCGGCGTTTGCTTATAGAAACCCATGTTACTGTGAATGTTCTTTTTTTCCCCCTAATCGTGGTAACAAATAGCATCAGCTCCTGGAACAGTTTGGCAAAGCCATTCTTGCCTGAGTAGCGCTAAACGGGAGAAGCTGACAGCTACCCGGTTATTACCTGAGCCCCGAGGAGCCCCCAGCCGATAACAGAACGTGTTTGCAATAAATGACATAAGAGGCACCGGCCAGGTGCCGCTGGGCGCTCGGAGCACATTTCCAGGGGCAGATCCCGTCATCCTGCCCACAAAGAATGGACCTTGTCCAAACAGGGGACAAGAGATCGATGCTGCTGTTATCGTTCCATCATATGGAACGATATGATAATATCGTATCGTATCACATCGATAATCCCGTATGAAAAACGTCTCGTTTCCACTTTGTTCGGGACGTTTCAAACGCGCCGGAGCATCATCACCTGACAGCGCCTTATTTACTGCCAACAAGTTGCAGCTCCCCAGCCCCAGCCCTGGCCCCCGGCAGCTCAGGAACAATCGCGGGGGAGTTTTCCGGGGGTGCCGGGGCTGGGGGAGCCCAGCCCAGCCCCGCTCCCCGCGCCACCGGACAGCCTTTGTGTCCTCCTGCTGCACACACCCATAATTAATCCTCCTTCTTACCGCTTACATCCCGGACCCAAGGGGCAACTCAAACCTATTTAGATCGCCTTGGTTGGTTGCACAAATTTAAGTGGCAAATGAGTTATAAACCTAATAACTGCTTTAATAAAAATAATTATTTGATTATGGCAGAGGAAATTTGCTGGAGTGCAGGGATGCGGCTGGGTTTGCGTTTTGGTGGTGGTGAGGTTCGTCTTTGCTTAGAACTCAGACGCCTTTAGAAAACGTTACTCTGAGGAAAAAAAAATCCCAAACTCAAAACAAAATGAAAAACAAACAAAAAACACCCCAAAATCAAAATCCTAAAAGACTTTATATTAAAAAATCGCTCTGGTTCTCAGAGTACCGTGAAACATTTCCCGTGATATTCGAAAGAAGAAATAATTTGTAAACAGAAAAATCAATATGAGATTTGGGTGGCTTTGAATTAATTGAAAACAGTCAACACAGAGGACCATTAATCACAAACGCTGGTACCTCTTTCGCTTTTCCCCCGTTAAGGATGAAGTTTCTGCGCCTCTTTCAAGTGTATTTATGCTTCTGGTTTTACAAGAAAAAGTGAGGATGCAACAAGACCAGTCGCGTTGTCCTCTCTATACTTTTAACGCTAGCATATTGTTTGATTACTAATTCGAGTTAATATGATCTTTATGGCAACATAACAGTGGATAATTGGCCCTTTTTCTGAACAACAATGTAAATCACAATCGCTTTATTATTTAATAACGTCAAACGCTTCGTTGGATTGGCCCCGACAGAGAAGACCTTTTCTTTCTAGGCAGTGTTGTTGAGAAAGAACAATGCAGATCTAATTGTGGAGATTTCAGAAGTTGGCTCCTGTAAATGAACAGCTTAGATATGGAAGTTCCAGCAGATGTCTGCACTTTTCCCTGTGACAAACCTTGTAACCCCCCTTCCTCCCCCTCTGCCCCGTCCTCCCCCCTCCCCGACTTATTGAAGATTTTTTGTTCTCACATCCTAGCAACAACCTAAATCTTCCAGTCGCGAATACACCCCTTTCCCCTGGTTGCTACCCAGCCCTCAGATGGCCGCCTCAAGCNTCCGCGGGCTCCGGGAGCGGGGCCGGGGCTCATCCCTGCGCTGCCCCCCAAGCTCTCCAACGTGTCCTCCTGGCATCGCCGGGAATGATGGCCCCTTTAAGCTGTTACAAATTGCAGAAGTAGAGGAAGACAGAGAAATAATTAATGTATTAAAACAAGCAGCGAATTCCTCAGGAGGCACCTTATCAACTCCAGCCACACTGGCTTCATCCCTCCTCGTATGCTAATACCCCGTGACGTCATTGGCGCCAGATTGAATGTGAATCAGTTATGAAATTATTAGTTTTAGCTTAAAAAGCAATCTGGCTCTCCTGTGAGTGGGCTTCGCGTTGCTGCGGGCTCTCGCTCCGTGTCCTCCCCGTGTTATGCACACACAGTAGTTGCGACTTTCCTGTTGCAATGAATGAATCAATATTTCCAAAGCACACATCCTAACAGGGGGTGATGTAAAGAAACCCATAGATTAATTGGGTCCCGTTTCTGAGTCGGCTGTGTCTTCCTTATCGATACACACTTTACACCCGAAAGCAGACAGTCGGATTTCCTCCTACTCTTCAGGTAGGCAAGAGCTCCTTGTGATTTATTTCTGTTAAGATATCACAGAGGGGGTGTTATTCTTTGCCAGCGTCTGCGAAGAAAATACTCAGGAGTTTGCTTTTGCTTTTGCTTGTGATGGAGGAAAATGGGCCAGAAAAGGGGGAAATACAGAAATTATTTGGTTGGTCGTTTCAAACAGAAATATTTTTATTTACAGTTTTGAAAAGGAGAGCATCCCAGCGGTGGAGGGCCAAGGGATCTGAGGGGGGAACAATGGGAATTAACACCATTTCAATCGCTGAGGCCACTCTAATTAGATGTCTGGGTCCGGCGAGATCAAATACCTGAATCTAAACCCCTCGGCTCGGTTTCTTTCGCTTGCAAATGCTTCTGAAAAACGGTTCCTCAAGAAACCAAGCTACCCCCAAATTCCCCGGAGTCCCTTTCGAGAAGTTTGGCCGATAACAACTTTCTCCGTGGGTTAGGGGGGCCGGCGCGTCCCCTCCCCGCAGCGGCCCCNGTGTTCAGAGAGGGGGTCAAACCTTCCTCGAGGGAAAGGACCCTATCCTAGCCATCCTCCTCCTCTCATAAGTTTCCTACGTCTCCCGAGCGCTGCCCGCTGCTCCAGCCGTAGCCACTGTAAGCACGCTGAAGGCGAGCATCATCGCTCCGCGGGCTGGCAGGGTGCCTATCGTGGCGAGGATAGCGTTTGATGTGCTGTATCTCATGCCACTGCAAGCTAAGAGACAAGCGAACACAGAGTGCCCAGTTACACGGGATTTAATTACAGCGGAATGCATTCTCCATGCTGATTAGGAGCAAAATCAATCGGGGGCTTATTTGCCACAATGAACCAATAAAAACCCAATTTATTAAAGCAATAATCTCAGCCCCAAATGGTCTAAATATTATTGTTTCAATGGCATTGAGGGAATTTGGAGTTAAAGTGTTACACAGAGAAGATCAGGGAGTTCTACTCCATGAATTCAGTAGGAGTTTCTAACCCCATTCCAGAAGCTCACTTTCTGGCTCAGAGATCTTGGAAGAAGGGGGCCAAGTTCCCCTATTTCAGTTCCAGGTGTCTGGGTTGCAGTGCTACCTACAGGGCGAGATGCTCTGTGGTCTGCAGCTCTCTGTGCTGAGGCAAACATGGTAAACAGCTTTCTACCAGGACTTAGGGATTTCCTGCTTTCCAGTGATTTATATGAGAAATTCCTGGAGGAGGGTAGGCCACACAGAGATCCCCAAGCTATAGGCTGACATAAAAGCCTTGTGATATTGAAAAACACCACACTGCATGTCAAAAAAATCTCTGGTAGGGATGAGCAAGAAAGGGATTCCCTGAGGAAGGTGCTGAGCACCAGGCTGGGGCACGTGGTGAGAGTGGGGGAGTGCAGTGCCCTCTGCTCCCCTCTCCCTCAGGAAAGCAGCCCCATGGCATGGCAGCCCAATGCGCAGCCCTCAGTGCTCCCCTGGGCTGCCAGGGCTGTGGGAGAGGCAGCGCTGGTGGCCAGGTCACCCTGGGAACTGTGGGGCCCACCAGAGCTTAAAGCCTGTGACTCAGGAGATGCTGATTTTGCTTTACAGCTTTCTGTAGCTCCAGTCATCTCTGTCCCGAACCGGAGAGGACCTCATTTCCTGCCCAGTGCTGTGCCAACCACAAGGTCTTTTCATAAGGCTGCCAGGGGTGCCTGGCTGCGGGAAGGACAGTCAGTGTTTGTCACCAGGGAATGAGCTGGCATCATAGCTCTAATCTGAGTCAACAACCTGGCTAGCCCTGAGCATGACTTCATAAATCATGGTATCTAATTGAAAGGCACATGCTTATATATACAGTGTTGTTCAAAAAGAAAGAGAAGAAATAGAATTTAGCAAACATTTTTTTCTTCCCACTAGCCCATTGATCAGCCACCTGATTGTTTCAATTTACATTATTTCATGCAGAGAATAAAAGAGAAAGTATAAAAACATCTTGTATAGCCATAACAAAAACACAAATGAAAAAATCCATCTCCTAATGAGAGGGTTAGCCTTTTTCTAACACATCCTTAATAACAGGGAAACAATCTTTAAGTGTTTTTAATTTAAATTGTTTTCATGTTTAATTCACTATTGCTAAATAATATTATTAAGTGTCTATGTATCTATTTAGCCTTGAGGCATGCGATATTTCAAAGCAATTGAACCAGTTTTGAAAGGAGAAAGGGTCCTGTACCGTGCCCTCATTCACTTTTTTTAATGTTAGTTAACACACATATGCTGGACTGCCTTTTTCTCATCCTTCCAGCAGAAATGAAAAGTAAGCCTGGAGCAAAAGATCAGCTCTGTGCTTTTTGCTTCTCACACCCAAACCTCCTGCTTTATTTTTGTGTCCATAGGGTCTGTGTGATGTCCTCCCATGAGAGGCGACTCAGCAGCTCGGTCCCTCTGCCATCTCAGCACTGCCACTGGAGAAGCCCAGGAGGAGCAGAGCAGGGGCTGAGCAGCAATTTGAATATCCATATTTAACTCTTCAAACAACAGAAGATACTTCAGAACCATGTGTGAGACAAAATGCCATTAAAGTTTCAATCATTAAACCTCTGTTTAGCTGTACTCCAGAAATGAGCAGTTCATAACAAGCGGGGAATACTGATTGACAGTTTGCCATCAGGAGCCCTTAAGTAGGATTTTTCCAGCTATAATGCAGTGTACTCTTCACTGCTCCCTTTTGCAAGATGCTATTTCAAGTAGAGCAGCATGAGGAAAATTTACATAAAAGCTTTGTATGTAATATGTGATTGCTCTGAAATTAAGAAGCACCAGTTTTCCCCTTCTTTTTTCAGAAATGAAGGGTGCACTTTGTTTTCTTGTTTACCTAGGGCGCTCTGTGATCCCTTGATGTGTTTCAAGTGTTTTCTGTCAGCATCACTAGACCTTGCTTACCTGCTAAATTTTATGTGTGAAGTGATTAGTGTTCAAAGTGCCTGAAAAAACCAGCACTAACGATGTCTGACAACTTTTGGGTTTTTTTTTGCTTTTTCCTCTTAAATAATATTTCATGGTACATTAAATAGGTTATGCAGTCTCTTCTGAGAGACCAAAGCAATGTACTGCTGCATACTTAATGTTTCACCCAGCAGATAGTTTTTAAAAGGAAAAAAACCAGAAGGCAGCATAGAATCCTTTCCCTGAGCCTTGTCTCAGCTTCTTTTCAATTCAGTGAGAAATGGTAGCAATTTGGAGAAAGATACAGAAAGAAAAATAAACATTATTTCACAATAAACCTCTTAGTGTGTCACTTGTGATCACCAGCAGATACTAGAAATGCTTCTTGTTAAATCCACTGAGCATTATTTCTTCACAAGTTGAAATGCTTTCAGCCAAACTGTTTTCTCAATGTTCACATCGGATGTACCACTTAGAGCCAGAGCAGCCCAAGAGAGAAGCAAACAATTAAAACTTTTACGTGTTTGATTCCTGACAGACATCCCTACGAGGTAGGTTTTAACTTTTTTTTTTCCCTTCTTAATTTTTTTTTTTTTTTTTTTTTTTTTTTTTTTTTTTCTCAGTAAGAAGGATAAGCTTGGAGTGCCCAGTCACCGTGGTAACTGCCAGAAAAATTCTCCTGAAGTTTGAAGAGGTCAGCTAACGGGGTCAACAACTCTGGCCTCTCTCTGAGCCGGGCCTGGCAGGCTCCATCCTGCGGTTGGGGTGTTAACGCAGGCTGAGCCCTGGGAGGTGGACCATTCCAGATCTGATATAAATTTTTTGAGTCAGTTCACGGCCTGGACTCTCCAGGTGGCCTCCAAAATCGATTGTGACCTTGTGACCCTGTCTAACGGAGGCATAGCATCCAACCTAAGTAAGGATTTAGCCAGGAACGACAGCTTTCCACTGAGTGTTATTGGGGACAGTACAAACAGTTTGGGAAGCAAGGAGGTAGGTATGAGGAGTAGAGGTCATTAAAAGCACATTAAAAAACAATTTTAAAAATCCTTTTTAGTTGAAAGTTTTTATTTGCAGTAACCATTCCTTAAATAAACCCTTCTGGCAACTATTTTTTCCTTCCATAATAACATTGCATCAAGTGCTTCAGTGCATTAATACACAAAAAATTGGCACTTTGCATATTCCAAACCAAACTAATATTTTATCTACCTCTGGATTTTGAACTTGCAAATGAAGCTGGCTGACATGTGTTAAACTAGATGCCTGTGAAGTGTTTTTTTTCTAAATATCATACAAACTAGGAGACTGCTTATTAAAGTAGGCTATTTACTTTAGGTAGCAATTTCTGTAATATGTGCATTCTTTTTAGATTCAAAAGTCTCTTAATCCCTGTAATCTATTTTTAAACTGGTAAATTAGGTAACATTAAGAATAGTGTGAAATGAAAGTGTGAGAGTTTCACAGAGTTTTCCTGTACTGGTCTGCAGTACAAGTAGAAAAGCTACAAAACTGATTATGTATTTTTTGTAGGAAAAAAATTGATCATGCTATGATGGTATTCATAGAGAACATGATTTTTTTTTTTCCTTTAAGATTTTGAGCAACGAACTATGTGGGGGAGGGAGGGGCTGTTGCAAAGTTCTTATTTTGTTATTGAATTTAGAAACTTGCCTCTCTGAGCAAGTGGATTGGCTCTTGTGTTTTATCCCCCTGCTACAGAACCTCGTGCATTGCTCACACGAGCAATTGGTAGCTGTCAGATGAGTAAGTGGAAATACACGGAGGAGCAAAGTCCAGTTTCCAGCTGGAAAGTGCTATCAGACTTTAAGTGACTTCAAAACTGCTCTGAAGGAAGAAAACAGCTTTAATATTTGTTCTCAGTCTTAGAAAAATTGTGCAGTGAGACCCTTGCCCAAATACTTCTTGCACTTGGCAGGGCCTGGCTCCGACATTTTTCTTCCCAGTCCCTTCCCAGCTGAGCAGTTCCCCCGAGGTTGGAGGAGCTGCAGAGACAGGGCCATAAAATACAGTTCAGGAAGAGCATCTGGGCAGTGATGAACATTACTGTACTGCTTAGAAGTCCCACAGGTTGCAACAGCAAGAATATCTAACTTTTACTTGCACTAACGCCTTATTCTGCAGAAAGAGCCCCAAAATCCATGGATTTTTGGCCAACGTCCTGACTTTTATAGAGTCATCATAATCTGCTCCGGTGGGAGCAGGTTTGAAGACCAGGAGTAAGAAATGGGGCTGAATTTTGCTATAAAATAATTTAAGGCCTGCACCTGCACATTCAGATATTTATGGTGGCACTATTTAATTCTACCCGGAATACTAATAATAGTTGGCTTTTGGTGGTCATTTTTAATAGACCTCTGCTGAAAAGAACTTTTTCCCATTAGGAAGCATGTTGATTCAGGGCTTCTGTGATTGAGCTTGGAAAGATGAAACTTACAGCCCTTGGTGAGAATCAGAATATTTGCTTGTTTTTCAGAAAATTAAAAATAGGACTGTAAATAGCTGGAAGGTGAATCTTCAATATTTTCAAAAGCATCTGTGTATTTTTCAACTTTTTTTTCAAAATATGTACTTACATCTGTTTTGTATTGCCATCACTCAAGGACCAAGTTCTACTGACAGGAGATAATTTCTGAAAATAGATAGAACTATTCCACTGGAACTTTTGGACCAGAATTGCCCCAGATTTGCTCTAAACAATGAGGAATTGTTAGCAGAGGCAACAACAAGGAGATCTCAGGAACTTTAACTTGCTTCAAATTCTTTAGCGTTGACTTCTGTAGATCCCATTGAATATATAATCAGCTGCAAATCTACAAATGTGACCCATAAAAGGTTCTGGTCTTGCATATTTTGTACCTCTTCACATTGTATGGTTCATGCACACCCATTTGGAGTGCCTAGAGGTGCCTGTTAGCAGCAGCTGCAGTTGACAATTCTTCTTCCCCATCAGTGCAGTGAAGTCCTCACACAGCTTTCCAAATTTGACTTTTTTGGAAACTCTCTGAAGTGCAGGCTCTTTGAGTTTCACCAGAGGGATGTATGTGAATGGTCTTGGTGCTGTGTTAGAGATAACCAGCAGAGCCACCAAAGCCTGTGGTGGTTCCCAGCCCCTGTCCTATGGACACTGATAACCCCTGAGGCCTTTGAAAGTTTGCTGTGGCTATTACTATTTAATACAATGGAATTGTATTAAATAGTAGTGCCCATAGTCTTCAATTTAAATTTGTATTAGTGGAGTGAGTGGCAGTTTGCAAGAGAATCTAAGGTCCGAGGGTAATCTGCTACCTGAAAGCTCAGAGGATGTTTGCTGTACAGGAATATGTCTCAGGTCATGGGCCATGAGATGGTGGGAGGTATCTTGTTAATGTTTTCAAATTAAACATATGCCCAGTTAAATGAATGTTTTTTATTACTCATGCAAACAAACAAAAACACAAAATCCCCACTTCAAAATAAAACAAAGAAAATCAAAGTGATAAATGGACACTGAAGCTTCATCCTAGTTTGTGTTTGCTTGTGTCCAAAGCCTGCACTGCCAGTGCTCTGCAGAGACAGAGAAGCTCAGCTTTAGAGAGCAGCACGTTGCCATGGCCTGGATCAGGGCTGGCAGAGGTCTCTGGGCTCTGGAGGAAGCAGGGAGGGCAAATGAGCACTGGGACTTACAGGTGTGCTGGCAAAAGGTCCTAAACAAGTGCTGAGCTTCCGTCTCCTTTTTCTTCTTCCTCTCTGCCTTGAGAGTGTGTGGCTGGTGTCCAGAGGAAAAGTCAAACTAATTCTGATGCTTTTTCCTATTCTGGGTGGACTAATTCAGAGAAAGCACTTAAGGCAGCCTTTGTGGAAGGGTTACAATATAGGTTGATACTTTAGGAACTATAGGAAGTTCTTAATCCTTCCCTGCCTACGGGGCTGTCATTTATAGACCCGCTATTGTCTCATCTTTTATAAGGATGTTTCCTTACATTAAGGTTCCAAGAGCAACCAGACTTTGCCATTGTTCCCAGCTATTTCTGTTTGTGGCTTAATGCACATCTAGTATTCTGTTTATGCTTTCACTGCTCTCCTACACAGCAGACTGTACCTACACACCAGCTTAGGTGACATCACTCTCAAAGCATTCATTTCTGGGTTTCTTTTTTTTTCTCCTGATTTGTCTGTGCATCTTGATTTTGCATTAGCCTAGTTTGCTATAGATAACATGATAAAGTGCATGGAACTTTATGCATTTAGTTGTCATTTTATCTTCGTTTCTTGTTTGATAAACTTGCTTATAAAAAAAAGCTTTTAGGTGTGTTTTTTATAACAACAGAACTCCTCTTACTATGTAAGAAGAATGAATTCAGCCATGAACAGAAAAAATTGAAGCATAGATAATTTTGAATGTATAAAATTTAGCTCGATGTTAATGGTGGTTTAATTACTGGATTTTTTTTTTAGTATGGCTATTCATAAAGACATCCATTGTTTTCTGGTTTGATTTATGTCCAGATTAGCCCCCTTTCGAACCTCATTTCTGGCAATCTCAGCAGCACGTGAGGGCCTGGCAGCTTGTGCAGACATTGCCATCTTCCCTCACTGCTCCTTCTGAGCTGCTCCACCAGCCCCACAGCCTGCCATTCCTCAGGAGCCCTTAATGGTGCCTTTCCTCCATCATCTGCTCTGTGGCCTTCCAGAACCAGGTCCTTTTGTCAAAGTTTTCAAACCAATTTAGAAACAGATACTGAAATAAAGGCCGGTGACGTGGTGGTGGGGTGACATGGTGTCATTGCCTTTCTGTCCTGCATGGGAAAATTACAGACTTTCTCCACAGCTCAGCTCTATGGCCATGCAATGAGAATGATAAAAACAACATCTTTGCAAAGTGCTTATATATCTGAAAAATTTGATGCAAATTAAAAGCTACCTAGGTTTTGTCAAACCTAACTCTACCCAGCACTTCACTTTCTCCACTGCCCTCTCAGCTGCTCAAGATTTGACAATAAACCTTTTAGAGTTTTTGCATCATGCCTTGCAAAATGTGACATTTGGGCTTTTAAACTACCCTTGTGTTATAACATACACAGCAGAACTAATATATCCTTTTTCCACATGCATCCTCACTTTGCTGAAAAAAAAATCCCAGCGCTGAGCAAACTACAAAGAGCCTGATGATGCAGGGTGAGGAGTGCCCAGCAACCTCTGTGTGCTCCAGGCACAGCTTTATCCCAGCCCTCAGTGGGACAGTGCACATGGAAATGTGGGATCTGTTCCTTCCCAAGCCTCAGTGATGCCTTGCTTTGCAGTTCCTCTTGCTGGTGAGTCGCTCTTGTAATTTCCAGTTATGTAACCCATCTCATTTTGTGAATATGTGAATTTAACAGCTGTCAGTGTCAGCAGCGCCTGCGAGGGGTGTGTGTCTTTTTTTTTTTTTTTTTGGCAAGTTTTTTTTTTTTTTTTTTTTTTTTTGGCAAGCTGGCATTACTCATCAGTCTCATGGTAGTTTTGTTTGAAAAATGCTTGTGTTAGAAAAAGTGGATTTATCAGCTCAGCACTGTATGGTGCTAGCATGCAGCTCAACAAAAGACAAGTGCTCATTTCAGTAACGCTTGCAGCATTTCATGGGGCCCCCAAATAGGCTGAACAAGGCTTCTCTGGCAACTAACCCCAAGTACAGTGGGAAACTATTAAAGTGGCAGTGTCACTGCTTGGAAAAGGGATTTGGTTTTCTTCCATCATTTATTGCTGCAGGTTTTTTTTTTTTTAATTAAAGTCTATGAACTGCATTAGGAATTTCCCTGAATATTGGAGATATAAAAGAGGCCTTACTGAAAATTTGCGCTCCTAGAAGTAATTTTTTTTTTCTCTCATGGTTTCCTGGAAGGTAGATCGAACTGTCAGTCTGCCCTTCCCAAAGTGGATCTGTTTTATGGGGAAAAATAAGATACTTGCAGCTTTTTCAAGTAATACTACAAAGTCAGTGGTGCTGCAATCTTTCAGGGAGAGCTCATTCGCTGTTCAAATCAGTTTATTTTCAGAATGACTTGCTGCTCTTACACTTTCTTTTGTAGCTGCTCTTCCAGAATGCAAAAACAACCTGGAGAGTTTTCTGTATTTAATTGAATGTGTCAGGTGGTTGAAATCATGTTTTAAAACCAGCATTACATACTGCAAATGTGTCAAACCCTTTGTTCACATTTATTTAAAACAAATGTATTTTTCAGTATTTATTTATTTATTCTCTCTGTTTACACTTCACACAGATGGAAAAGCTAAACCAGTGGGTTTAATTTTTGCTGTAATATTGCCTTTTACATTTTTAGGTTCTCATATCCTGGCAAGATGCTACAAACCCCACGTGACAAAGATCAGAAGGAAATACTTATTTGAAGAAAGCTCTGTCATTAGCTGTGCTGTAAGTTTTATAAAAGGCTCTATTTCATAAAATGCAAATTCTGGACTAATTGTTCCTCTGCAAGCCTTAATGGTCTCTGAGCTGCATAGTTAATCTACTACCTACCTCTACTCACACAGCCAACAGGATTTAGAGCTGGGTAAAACACGCCTTCACACATCAGTTACATCTATTTTAACTTTTCTTCTGACAAGTTCTACTGATTGTTTACTGTAACTTGCACCCAGACATATGGATTTGGACTTGCACACTCCTGAAGCTGCACAACAGACAAGCACAGCCCCCTGGGGACACCCACCCACAAAAATGTTCTCGTGGGCTCAGCTCCTGTGCGTGGGTGAGCTCCAGAGGCTGGGGGGAGGAATGGGTGGAAGGGATTCCTGAGTCATCTTCTGTTCCCTCTTGGAGAGAGGTGCCTGCCAGGAGCTGTCTGCTCTCTGCAGGGACACAGGGCTGTGGTTATCAGCTCCCCAGAGCTGTGAAGGCCACAGACATGAATGCATTGTTGTGCCCACACACACCATGCACCCCTGCACCTGCAGCGTCCTGCAGCCACCTCTGGGTACCAGCAGCTCCCTCTGGCTTTCCAACACAGGTGAGGACAGCACTGAGGCAGCAGGTCAGATCCTTGTATTCAGCTTGGTACTCAGAAAACTGGGTACTTGCTGCAGTGTCTCTGTGGTGTGGGCAAACCCTGGGTCTTTAGTCAGACCAGGCACAGGTCAGGGACTGAAATATTTGTCCCCCCACACCTACCGCAGCAAAGTTGTGGTTGTTGACTTGAGTGACAGGGGAATATAGGACTGGGATGTCTCAGCCCAAAGTCCCTTAAGCCTTGGCTTCATGGGTGAGATCTTGAACACAGCCAGAGCCTACGACATTAAAGGCTTTATAAAAGCAACAGTGCCAGTTTAAAATCAACCTCCCACATTACCAGCAGCCCCAGCAGGTGTAATGTGATCCAGGTAGCCCAAGCCAATGAGTAAACAAACTGCTGCTTTCTGAATGAGCTGCACCAGAGAAATGCTTCTAACTGGGAATTGCAGTGGCTGTTTGCACTAAGTGAGCTGTGCAAATGAGCAGTCTCCTATGATTAATTCTGTGAAAATGAGTGGGCTCCTATGATTCTAACTCTTATTCCACACAGGTTTTTCCCTCTACACCCAAAATGAAACAGGGAAAATGTTGCAGGGAAAAATTTCCCAGATAAGCCTGGAAAGTTTAGTGGTATTGGGCCTGATCTAGCTGCTTGAACTTCAGTGGGGTCTGTTGCTGGGTTTCCTTAAGCTAGAGAAAACAATCCTGCTGCTTCCAAACTGCCAAGTCAGTCAGAGGAATTTAATATTGTCCCTAAAGAAGCTGCTTTGCTGCTCTTCTGTTGGGTTCCCAGTTCCATTTCCAGTAAGCAGTATTAACTTAGGGATTTTATACTTGGCTATAATGTTGCCCTTTTTTTTTCCTTCACCTCCAGCTCTTAAACCATCATAGAGCCTTGCTGTGTAGACCAGCTGAACCTGAATGCTGCATTTTAGATCCTCTCGGTGTTACTGCCTGGCTCCCTAACTGGAGAAGTGCATAAAAGCAAAGAAGGTGGATGTGTCCAAGTAGAGCCTGGACCCTGACAAGTCCCATGGGCTTGGCAGACTCTGACTCACCGTGGAGTCCTTGGAATGTGCAGACTGGGGGTACACCACGCCGAGGACCCAGCAGCCCAGCTCTGTTCCATGGTTTCTGCCTCCCAGTCTGGGTCCCATCCTGCCCCAGAGAGCCTCTCCCCCCTCCCCAGCCCACGCTCCACTTATTCATGAGTTATGATAACATATAAGCAGCTTAGAGAATTCTTATCGGAATAAGTTGAACACAATGCAGCATTTAACTCTTAATGACAGCCACCTCTGACTGTGAGTGACATGTTATAAATTATGTTTGAACTGGATTTTTTTTTTTCTTCAGAGGCAGATATTCCCTCTGCCACCCAGTCAGCCCTGTAACGTTGCACTTGTGGCCTTAATCCCACTTGGATGTGTGCCCTGCTGCCTCCACTTTCCATCACTTGGGTACTTTAGTATTCTTGAACAAGTGAACAATCTTTGTTTCTGTACCTTATTAGGCCAAAGACCATAGCAGCGAGTGATGGCATCAGCAGGCCCTGCAGGCAGGATTCTCTGCAGACACAGCCAACCTCCAACAAACCCCTTTTTATCCTCCTGTTTCTAGGAAGAATTATGATGGTGGTGCCCTGCTGTTGATCAGTCAAATCTGTGGTAGGCCTAGAGATAAGTCCTGTAAGTGTGGTGTACTGTAAAACAGCGGCTCCCATTCATTAGTAGCTTGTGTGTAATAAACCACCCAAAGGAGGGGGGTGGGGAGGGAGAGGGACGAGCAGCTGCAGTGTGCAGGAACAAACAACACAACTCATTCTTGGGAGCCAAAACTTTCTAATTTGCTGCTGGGCTGCTGGGAGCACTCAAATTCTTTCTGATAATACGCTCGTGCCCTCAGTGTCTCTCCTGGAGTTTCCCAAGTCCTGCTCTCTCGGGGTCCCTGAGTCTGGGATAGTTTCACTTTGAACCCAAAACACAGAGGGGAGCTGAGTGGGAAGGAGGGGAAAACACCAGTGCCCAGTGTTTGCAGACTGAGGCATAAGAAAGCCGTGGACTCCCAATCATTCTGCTGGGAATGGCTGGTGTGTGGATCTGCTTGTGCAGCGGGTAAACAAAGCATCACATGGGCTGCAGAGCAAGCAGGAGGCACGGAGCAAACCCAGGGCTATCAGGGCTTGCAGGAGGACAGACTGTCTCAGATGTGTTACTGACTTAGAGAATTCTTATTGGAATAAGTTGAACACAATGCAGCATTTAACTCTTAATGACAGCCACTGGAATATTTAGGAATATCTATCTCCCAAGAGGTAAAATCTTCAAACAAACCTCAAATGATTAACAGCTGAAAAATTATTTGTCTTAATCTGTTCTAGTTTTTTTCACAAGTTCTGGTAAATCTTTACAGCTTGCAGGCAGGTGAATTTAAATGGAGTCTGCTAAATATAATGTAAGATGTTGCATGTGTTGAGACATCACAACTTCCTAATATTTGCATAGCTGTGAATACGTTGGTGCTTTTGGATCTCAGCCTTGGACCTTCCAACTGCCTTCCAACATTTCAGACCAGGATGTGAAATTATTGAGTGTTGCACAACTGCTCTCATAGACCAGGCCTTTGTGCTGATGTTTGTATTATCACAGGAAAATGAACTTATTTTCAGATAGCTGCTGCTCTGGAGGAGTGCTGTACCCTCACAGGAGATGACAGTGACTGCTTTTTGCAGGGAGGTACCAGGCTGTGATGGTGCCTGGGCTGTCTCCTAACATTTCTATAGACAAGGGCTACTTTAATGGCAAATTCAGGCTTGGTCCAAAATGCAAGCACTCTTTATGTAGACAAGGCAAAATCGCAGATTTGAGGTTTTCCACTCTCCTGGGAGAAGATCCATCTCCCTCCTCTCTGGGAGGAGCTGTGCTGTGAGTTTGAAGCTCTGAAATGAGAGGGGCTTCTGCTAAACTGCTGCTTGGTAAAGTTACCCAGTGGGCTGAGATGAAAACACCCTGAAGAGCATCCACAAAACACTGTTAACTAAACCTGGGCACAAAATAGGTTTTTATCTTCTGAAAGCTCAGGTAGTACAGCTTAGGTAGCTCTCATTGTGGCATTCTGGCATTTTGAACAAAGTCAAAATAACTTGACATTTTGGTTTTCCTTCCCCAGGTTTAGGTAGGTAGGTGAGTTTATAACCAAAACTGGCTGCTCACTGCCCATTCCCAGCATAGAGCCCGACTTCTCTATGCTGTTTGCAGGATTTTCAACTAGAATTGCAACAAGGGGCTTTTTATGGGAATCTCTCCATGACTTTTCAAAGAAAATTGCAAAGGTAACACCTCTGGTAATTGCTGCACTGTGTAAGTAGATGAGAGAACCATCAATTGGAAAACTCCAGCACTGGTCAGACTGCCCTGCTCCCTGACAGCACACAGCAGGTACCTACCTGTGCTCCTGTTGTCAGCAGGTTTGAAGTTATAGATGAGACCAGCAAATTGAGTGAATGTTCTAGGTAGCTATGAAATCAGGGGGTGGAGGGTTTGGTTTTTGGTTGTTTTTTTTTTTTTTGGGGAGGGTTTGAGCCCCATCCCCAGCACAAGCAAAGCCATGTAATCCTTTCTTTTGCAATTAGAGCTGAAAAATAGCCCTAGGTCAGAACACTTGCACAAGGAGCAATTAGACAAGCTAGACGCTGGGAAAAGCTAAAAATAGTAAATAATCTGCCTCCACAAAAATACCTTGAACCATTAGAAAAGGACATTTTATGAATTTCCTGGGAATTATTTAGTACTTTAATAGCTCACAGTGTTCTGCCTGAAGGGATGATATTCCAGCTGCTGTTTGGCAGAGGTAAACATGAGTAACATGACTCTCTTCTTACACTTGAGACACTGAAAAAACCTGAGTAGGTCCTGAGATTTTCATACCTAGCCAATTGAAATTGGGGTAATGAGTGGATTCATATTGAACTGAGAAAAAATATGCCCTAGTGCTCTTTAAGAGACAATATCCAAGAGGCTGGGGGTAAAAATGACTTATTTTTGGTTATTTAATGTCTCAGCCTAGTCGCCTTTGAAAAATAAAGTAATCTATGATATTTATCCATTAGCTGAATCCAAACTATTATAAAAACTCTCCCTTTAGAAACTATATTATTTGAAAAAGAGGATGACAACTGCTGACTTTTTTTGCAGCACTCCTGAGCTGGATGAAATGTATAAACAAAAAAAACCTAACCACAGCTGAATATTTTTAGTCCTTTGCAGGGACTACATATGATGCTATTTAACTAAGAATGCCTCGAAAAGGATGATTTGACTGTTTCTGGTTAAGCTTCTGATGCAGGCTTTAAAAATGCAACAAAACTCAGACCTAAGGTTTGCGGGTAACAAACCAGAATTAGCCATTTGCAAATACATGTGAGAAAGGGGTTGAAGGTTGCCACAACATTTTTGGGTTTTTTTTGCTGGTTACTTGTGTAATAGTGTTTGAAAAATGTTGTGAGTATTAAATCACATTTTGTTCTGTCTTCTTTATTTACAGGAGATACTTCAAGAGGAAAAAATGCTATAAATTGAAACAACAAATTGTGAGCATCTGTGTGCACATCCCTGTGCGTCCTGGTACCACTGCTGGCACACGGCTCTCAGGAGGAGTTCAGTGATGGTGACAAAATTCAATTTCAATGTCCCTCTGTTTCTGAGTGGGGTCTGATGTTTGTTCCCAGAGCTGCTGGTGCCCATCCCAGCACAAGGCGCTGCCCGCAGGGATGTGAGGCTGGAATTGCCGGAGCTCTGCCCCCACCGCTGACTCGGAGCAGCGATGCTGGCGGCGGAGGGGCAGCGTGGGGCCGGCCGGGGTGCCGGGACGGGAGCAGCGCTGGCCCTGGGGCTCTGCGGGCGCTGGGCACCCCCGGGGGCTCTGCAGGGTTAACCCGTTCTGGGCCGTGCATCCACACACACTGTCTGCTCACTGCGGAGATCCAGCCCATCCCCCGGCCCGTGTGAAACTGCACAAAGCCTCTCCTAAACGTGAATTTAAAACGCTTTCAAATTGACAACCTCCTTTTAAATAAAAACATTTATGTTAAGCGAAAGGCATATTTGCCTCTACAAATAAATGGAATTATGGTTCTAAGACGTGACTTAATCCTGAAGTTCTTAGACTGCACAGTAAGTAGAAAAGAAAGAGGATTGTTTGGAGGAGCAGGGGTTAGCAGGATCAGGCTCCATCTTACATCTTCCTGCACATTTTCCTTCTGGCATTCAATATACCTTTCTCAGAACTACCTCTGTTTATAACAATGCCAAAGTAACTTCATGTCTATTATCTAATTGAAAATAACGAGGCACGGTACACAGTGTGCCCATCCAGCTTTCCTGCTGGAAAAATTTGAGGATTGCTAAACAAACAAAAGATGCTCTTCCTCCAAATGTATTCTTATGCTAAAGTCATGTCCTTTTGAAATTAATTTCAGGATTTCCCTCAAATGTGTCGTAATTCTTTGTTCTTTTTCTACACTGTTTTCTTTGTGAAAATGTATTTTAAAATCTGCATGGAGGTTTCAAAGGATCCGAGAGAAGATGTTTACAGAGTAATATTGCTATTTGCATTTGTTGCTTTTCTGAAAATGGAATTTCTAATCAGACAACATTAAAATACTTTTGTATTATTTTTTGTGTGGTTTCATGACATTTGCATGTTTCCAGCTCTGATTTTGGTACCCATGTAGGCAGACTAATTAGGAAAGCAGGATCCTAAGTTTTATTGTTTCTCCATCCAAGTCAATCTAATCTATAACCCCACCTCTGGTCTTGGTACTGTCTGAATTCAGTGATTTTGGTGTATTTTTTTGTTTTTCTGTGGAAGCCTTGAAGTACCTGTATTCCAAGTCAGGAGATTTCATATTCAGGACAGTTAAAGCTTAAAGAAGCCTGGGCAAGAGGAGAGATTTGTTTAGTAGATGTATTCAAATGAGTTTCTGCCAAAGACTAAAATGAAGACTGAACGAAATTTATTGTGGCAAACTTTCCTGTGTGGACTGCAGAAAAGCATCTACACAGAACTGGACCTGCAACTCCCTGTCCCCTGTCCCTCCCAGCACCTTCCTGTGGTTCCCTCTGTCCCTCAGAACAGGGAATGGCTTCCTGCCAGCTCAGCAGGGACCTGGCTGGGGCTGCCACCTGCTGCAGCCCATGGAGACCCCAGGACACCCCCAGGGCTGCTGGGCTGACCCAGCTGGTGAGACCCTCACTGCCATGGAGACTGGGTGGGCAGTGCTGCCCTGCAGCAGCCCACATCCTGCCTGCTCCTTCCTGCCCACACGCCTAGGGTGGGCTTGAGTACACATCACTTGTTGGAAACAAATTTACTGGCTGTGATGCCTGGTTTTTGTGCACAAGGACAAATTGAGCCAGAAATCCAGGGGATTTCCAAGCTGAAACTCCACCCCGTTGCAGGATCTGGCTCTTGCTGTAACTCTGAAGAGAAAGAAACTGTCTGTTGTCATAAAATAAAGCAGTGTTTTAATGTTTTGCCACTGAAAATTTTCAAAAGCAATGTTTGAATTAAAAAAAAAAAAAAAAAAGTAGCTTTTTTTTTTCCTCATGAACATGCAGAATGGAACATTTTAGCCAGTTCCAGGTTGAACCCAGCTCACTTTATCTTTTTAGATTCAAATTTAAACTAGTTTCTATTCAAAGTTTTTAAAGGGACACACACAACGTCATTCTTCAGCGTGACATTTGAGTCTCACCCCCTGCCAGGAGGGATACCTTAACCTCCCTGTTACTGAAAAGACCAGAGACAGAAAAATAGCTTGGTTTTTTTTGTACATCTCTTCACATGGCCACTTGCTACTACTTGGAGTAAAGTGAGTTCATTGTAACTCCTCTCTTTTGTGTTTCACCTTCGGTTTGTATGGGACTTTCTGTAGCTGTACAGACATGGACATAGGAAAAATGAAACAGCAATTTCTGTCTGCCCTCAGGATAATCACTGTGTGGATTATGAGGGCAGCATGGACTAGACCAAGGCAGACTAAGTGAAAAAAAAATATTTTTTTTTTTTAGGTGATTTTGGGGACCATCAGTTTATTTATGTCTCCCCAAAAAGAAATACTAAAAAGTCAGGTTAAACCATCCCTATGTGTCTGTGGAGCGTACTACAGACTGTTTTTAAAGGAAATGCTCCAAACTAGCTCTGAAATTGATGTGGATAAATCTGAAGATATTTTTCACATAAGTTTTTGAAAGCAGAAATCAAGGAAGAGCTTTTATTTATTTGTTTGTTTTGTGACAGGGAAACAGACCACAGGTATGCAAAACAAATACATTATTAAAGTGCTCCCTACATATCTCCTTATCTTTCTCAAGCCATTCCAACCAAAAGCTTTTGTAAGCGTGTGGGGGCAGCACTGACCTTTTAATTCTGTTTACATGATGGCTAGAAAAAAGAAATCCCTGGTCGAGAAGGGCCTGAACTCGTGGGAGCTGCCTCAAGACGTTTCAAGCAGCTCTACCTCGAGGTGTTTCTGCAGGCAGCAGCGCTGACACGGCACCTGCGGGGCTGTCCTGGGCCGGGGAAGACACAGGGACACCGACACTTGTCCCAGGAGTCCCGGGAGAGGGACAGTGCTCTGTCCTGTGCCTGAGCAGGACCTCAGGGCTTAAAGCTGGCCCGGATTGTGGCAGCTGGAGCCCAGCACCGGGGCTGGAGGTTGGCCTGCGGTTCCTGGGGTGCTCTCAGCAGGATGAGTTTGGGGGGTGCTCACTGCATCCTGAGCGACCTGTGGGGCTGCCCTAAGCTCAGGCAGTGGCTCTAGGCTGGGAGCACCGAGGTTTGCAGCATGGATGTTTTGGAAGCACCCTGTGCTGCACCAGGCACCCTCTCTCCTTCCACCAGCCATACCCAGTGCCAGGGACCTGGAGGAGAATCTCCATGCCCCCCTGGCAGGGACAGGCCAAGTGGCCCCGGAGGAGAATCCTCATGCCCCCTGGTACGGACAGGGCCAGTGCCCAGAGGAGAATCCCGGTACCCCCCGGGAGGGGCAGGCCCGGTGACCCCAGAGGAGAATCCCTGTACCCCCCTGGCAGGGACAGGCCCAGTGCCCAGAGGAGAATCCTGGTGCCCCCTGGCAGGGACAGGCCCGGTGACCCCAGAGGAGAATCCCTGTACCCCCCTGGCAGGGACAGGCCCGGTGACCCCAGAGGACAATCCCGGTGCCCCCTGGCAGGGACAGGCCCGCCCACCTGCTGAGGTGGGCGCTCTGTGGCCTGGCTGGTCTCCAGCTCCCCTCACGCCAGGGCAGCCCCACAGCCCCCACTGGAGTTGGCGCTCGCTTCCTGATGGTTTTGCTCACCAAAGAAGATTGTGTGGGAGCCTCTGCCCCAAGAGACATCTGCAGCTGTGCTGGAAACCCAGGTCCAGGGAGGGTGAAGCAGAGGTAATATCCAGCAGCAAAGGAAAAAGAGAGAAAGACAATGTTGCACTTGTAAGGTGAGTGATTGCAAGGCAGTCGTTGGCAGGCAGGAGTGGGGCCATGTTGGTCTCCGTCCTGTGGGTCTAACAGTAGCTTTCAACACATACATGCTTTTTCATCCTTTATTTTTTCTCTTTTATTTTTAATTTTGTACATTTAATTTTCTTGTTTTGCTGAGGCGCTTGTTCCTACATCAGTGGACAAAGCTAGGGAGACACAACCCCTCCCCAGAGATGTGATCCTGTGTGGGGCTGAGGCACTGGACAGAGCCAGCCAGTGCCCACTGTTGCCATCGCTGCCGGGGGAATTAAGAGCATTTCACAGCTTTCAGGCACAGAAACAAATTGTAAACTGCAGTGTTGCATCCATGTGTGAACACACACATACACAGAGACACACAGAATGCCGCCAGCAGCTGATGCTTCACACTAATCACTCGTATAAATGCCTCTAATTAGACTTATAAATACTTCTAACTTTCCAACAGGGAACAAAAATGCCCAACGGGCTTCATGTAAACTGGGGAGAAAAAAAAAAAAGAGTTAAAAAGATGAGTAAAAGCTGTTTTTAAAGGTGGCAAATCCTCCACCAGCACTTCAGGCCCTGAAATCGCAGAGCCCCGGGCCCCGGAGCCCCCCAGGCCGCGGGAGGAGGGGAGCGCAGCCGGGCAGAGCGGGGGCAGCGCCGGGAGGGGCCGCAGCCCCCGGCCTTTGTAGCCGGAGGGGGAACATCGGGACCCTGCCGAGAGGGAACACAGAAACCCTCCCGGCGGCGAGAAATGGGCCCGGACAAAAGCCCGTTACATGGCTGCAAATCACCCCGCTGCTGTTATTTTATTTACCGCTGCCCGCGGGAGGATTGTTTGCTCCTGCAAAATTTTAAGCTTCCCCCCCTCCGCCTCCCCTTTTCCTTCCTTTGCCCCTCGCTGCTGCCGGCAGCGCTCCCTGGTCCCACAGTGCCACGCACAGACCGAACCCACCTGCGCTCCCGGCCGGGGGGCTGCGGCTGAGCCTCCCACCATTCCCGTTTGGATGGAAAAATAAACCCTTTCCCCAGGAAACAGCCCATGAAAGGCTTATTTTGATGTCGGGGTGAGGAGCACAGCCCAGCCAAGCCACCCTGAGTGTTTGTTGCTGACGGGCAGAGGCTCTCGCTCCCCCACGGCGTTCCCTGCTGCGACAGGAAAAACTTCCAGTGCTTATCAGAAAACTTTTTTCATTTATCTTTTTTTCAAAGGATCTCTGTATTTTTTCTTTTTTTTTTTTTTTTTTTTTTTTTTTTTTTTTTTTTTTTGAGGGTGCAAGACAGAAGAATAAAGGCCTCTGGAGAGCCACATTTATTTCTTGGATATTTGTTTGGAAGATAAATTTCCCTTTCAGGGACTGCAGGCCCAGGCAGCCCCAGTCACCTTTCCCATCCTATTCAGGCTTTGGACTTCGGGATTTTAACAACCACGGTGAATGCCAGTCCTCCGTAAAAACAACCTGTAGACTTTTATGTTTTGCAAAAGTACTAATATGGACAGGGATTTGCTGGTGGTTCCCCCACCTTCACCTTTAGGGTCTGTGAAACGCTTTTTACATGTTAGGTGCTGTGAGGAAGGAAGGAGCTGTAGACGTTATTTGTGGTGATGCCTTTGTCGTGGGGAGCACAGGGGGAGCCCCAGCGAGCTCCTGCTGCCCCAGTCCCCTCTCAGCCGGGAGCTGAGCTCTCCCTCCTCTGACAGGTATTTACAAGGGGGTCGAACAGGTAATTAGCGCCCAATACTGGCTGCGGGAAACCCTCCTGGTCATCCCGCCCAGCACGGGCAGTGACGGAGTGCTGATTTTCGACGGCTGATTGAGCCTGAACAAAGGCTCCAAACAGCACCGAGTGCCCGACTCGGGGATGGTAACTTTAGAGCCAATGGGCTCCTTTCCCATCAGTTTAAAGCAGTGTTATTTTTTTCCAAGCTGATAACATTTTAAACATATTGCAAGACGGAATTTTCCTGGGAAGCAGGGAAACCCTTGAATTTGCTATAAAAGAAACTCCTGTGGATAAGGAAACCCGTTCTGTGAATTCACCTGTTGCCAGCCAAGGAGAAATGTTTGGTGTTTTATTTCAATCAAGAATTTGCTGTGTATCTGGTGCTTTATCTAACCTCACTCTCTGAAAGATTTGATGTTATGCTTGGCAGAGCTCTCAGACTCAA